ATTTCAGTAATTCCATTTAAAAAGTGAAACTTGTATATTATATTCATACATTACATACAAACTCATATATTTCAGATGTTTATTTTGTTTAATTTTGATGATTACAAATGACAACAAATGAAAATCTCAAATTCATCATATCAGAAAATTAGAATATTACTGAAGACCAATAAAAACAAAGGATTTATAGAAATGTTGGCCAACTGAAAAGTATGAACATGAAAAGTATGAGCATGTACAGCACTCAGTATTTAGTTGGGCCTCCTTTGGCCTGTATTACTGCAGCAATGCGGCGTGGCATGGAGTCGATCAGTCTGTGGCACTGCTCAGGTGTTATGATAGCCCAGGTTGCTCTAATAGTGGCTTTTAGCTCTTCTGAATTGTTGGGTCTGGTGTATTGCATCTTCTTCTTCACAATACCCCATAGATTTTCTATGGGGTTAAGGTCAGGAGAGTTTGCTGGCCAATTAAGAACAGGGATACCATGGTCCTTCAACCAGGTACTGGTAGCTTTGGCACTGTGTGCAGGTGCCAAGTCCTGTTGGAAAATGAAATCTGCATCTCCAAAAAGTTGGTCAGCTGCAGGAAGCATGAAGTGCTCTAAAACTTCCTGGTATGTGGCTGCGTTGACCCTGGACCTCAGAAAACACAATGGACCAACACCAGCAGATGACATGGCACCCCAAACCATCACTGACTGTGGAAACTTTACACTGGACTTCAAGCAACGTGGATGAAGTGCCTCTCTTCTTTTCCTCCAGACTCTGGGACCTTGATTTCCAAAGGAAATGCAAAATTTACTTTCATCAGAGAACATGACTTTGGACCACTCACCAGCAGTCCAGTCCTGTTTCTCTTTAGCCCAGGCAAGACGCTTCTGACGCTGTCTGTGGTTCAAGAGTGGCTTGACACAAGGAATGCGACAGCAGAAACCCATGTCTTTCATACGTCTGTGTGTGGTGGTTCTTGAAGCACTCACTCCAGGTGCAGTCCACTCTTTGTGAATCTCCCCCACATTTTTGAAGGGGTTTTGTTTCACAATCCTCTCCAGGGTGCGGTTATCTCTCTTGCTTGTACACTTTTTTCGACCACATCTTTTCCTTCCCTTCGCCTCTCTATTAATGTGCTTGGACACTGAGCTCTGTGAACAGCCAGCCTCTTTAGCGATGACCTTTTGTGTCTTGCCCTCCTTGTGCAAGGTGTCGATGGTCGTCTTTTGGACAACTGTCAAGTCAGCAGTCTTCCCCATGATTGTGTAGCCTATAGAACTAGACTGAAAGACCATTTAAAGGCTATTGCAGGTGGTTTGAGTTAATTAGCTGATTAGAGTGTGGCACCAGGGGCCATCAATTTTGAACCTTTTCACAATATTCTAATTTTCTGATATGATGAATTTGAGATTTTCATTTGTTGTCATTTGTAATCATCAAAATTAAACAAAATAAACATCTGAAATATATGAGTTTGTATGTAATGTATGAATATAATATACAAGTTTCACTTTTTAAATGGAATTACTGAAATCAATCTACTTTTTCATGATATTCTAATTTTATGACCAGCACCTGTATATATATATATATATATATATATATATATATATATATATATATATATATATATATATATATATATATATATATATATTCTATTTTTAAGGAATTCAATTAAATTCAGTTTATTTCTATAGCACCAATTCACAACACATGTCGTCTCAAGGCCCTTTACAGTTCAACCAGATCATCCAGTCAAATTGATTCAAAGTTTTCTATCTAAGGAAAACCAGTTGATTGCATTGACTTATTGACTTTGAGGCAATCCCTCACACTAAGCATGCATGTAGCGACAGTGGAGAAGAAAACCTTCCTTTGAACAGGAAGAGACCTCCAGCAGAACCAGGTTCAGTGTGAGCGGCCATCTGCTGAGGCCGACTGGGGTTCAAGGCATGGGCGTAGGTTTGCATAGGGACCATAGGGACATGTCCCTACCAAAATTTTGGACGGACCCATTTGTCCCTACCAATAATTGGATGTGAACAACATGTTTATAATTTACTATACAGCAGCCGCTTCTTTTCCTCTCGCAGCTTCTCTGCCTGGTAGCTGCAGCTGCCTGCTCTTTCCTGTCCCTTTCACATAGCAGCGCATCAACTCTGCTGCGCGGTTTAACTCTCTGATTATTCTGCCTTAAGTTCCGCCTTCTCTCTTTCTGATTGCGTGTTTTCTAGTCTGTATGTGCGCGCGCGCGGGTGCTTGGAACGCGAAAAAAAAAGACGCTAAAATAAATTAATATTGGGCTACGAAACTAGTCCAAATTAAAAAAATATATTATCTACGCTAAAACAGGCGCAAGCTTCTGACTGGAGTTCTGTAAAGAAGCAGGAGAGAGTTTTTTTGATTTGTGGAACTTGAGAAATGTAAGTTAACAACGTTAGGATTTCTTTTATTTTATCTTTTAATCAGATAGCCAAAGGCTCCTTAAAGATCTTTTATGAAATGAAACCAGGTGAAACAGAAACGTTTAAACGTTTCCTTTTGAGGAGTTCTGGATGGAGAATATTGACAGACAAAACTTTTTTTTTTTTTTACTTCTTAAATGCAAAATGTTTACATATTTTTTTTACAATTTTGGTATAATTCCTGCTCTAAGTGGGTTCGTTCTGTCGGCTAAAGGCACATTTTAGTGGCCCTATATTCCAGTTAACTATTAATCAATTACATAGTTCACGATTATTTAAAAAATTTGTTAATATGATTAATTGTTTCAGCCATAGATAAAATACATGAAATTAGCTACACAGAGTAACTACAGCCCAGATGTACAACTTCTAATATTAATACTTTAAATGCTCAGTGTCAGTTCCTCTTATAGTTCCAGTGCACATGTAAATACAATACATTTATTTGCTGTCCCTTGAATGTATTATTTTGCATGATCCAGAGAGAGCATATTAGATAAAAAACAAATAAGAGTGGGTTTTACCTCTGTTTACCTCTGCACAATTCTATATCTTCAGAAGAAAACACTGGATAAATCCACATATTATAGACTATATTTGGTTAAACAGACACTGTCTTAGTCGCAGGTAAATTTAAATGCAATCCTTTTCAAAGTGGAAAAAGGCCTAATTCCACATTCATCAGAGCCAGTTATGCTTTAAATATTGATAAACAGCATCTAGTGCATGCAGTGCTTATAAGATTTGTATTAATGTAGCAATAAATGCTGCTGTTCTCTTTAAACAAAATGAGCCCTGAAGCTCACATTAAGCATAAAAAAGAGCATGCATATTTTTGCAAAGGACCAATGAGACTGAAGAATAGCGTCCCTACCAAAGTTGAAATCAAACCTACGCCCTTGGTTCAAGGAAACAGAAGCAGAGATACACAAAGCAGCTGTAAAAGGCGGCCCCATCCAGGAAACACACAGCCAGGCAGACGAGCTCCGAGCCAGCTCCCATGTCAGAGGATGAAGAGAGCACATCCAGCGAGTCACAGCCAGAGAAACAGGACTACACTGAAAAACAGGCAGACCTCGAACATCTATAAACAAGGGTGTTGATGGCAGCAGCACAGCTGATATTTCTCTCCAGGATGGAGTCACAGCCAAACAGGAACAGACCAGATGAAGCTACTATGAGAAAAAGCAGAGAGAGCAGAACGTTAGAGATTGAACTAACAGATTCAGCAGAGTGGGAGAATAGAGATAGAATGAGGAAAAAGGGGTCCCTATATCCTCTAGCAGTCTAACCCTATAGCAGCATAACTATAGAATTAGCTCAGGATAACCTGAGCCACTCTATAAGCTTTATCAAAAAGGAAAGTTTTAAGCCTTGCCTTAAAAATAGACAGGGTGTTATTAATCACAAGCATGTAAATATTGAGCGGGGGCTTTGCAGTGTTTAGCAAAATAAAGAGCCTTTAACAAAATTAAAACTCTTTGCACTTATTTGTATTTTATCACATAAAAACCACTTAAAACACAATGTATGTCACATTTATCAGATTATCATATGTAGAAATATTTTAAATATTCTCCTGTACTTTGCAATTAGGGTTAGGTTTTGTAGTTGTAGTTTCAAAAGTATACGAACCAAAACACGCTTTCATGTGATATAAATTGGGTTTTATAAAAGCTGATGATTCAGTTGTTTAAACAAGTACTGTTTAAAACTGAGGTCACATGTTCACAGAGTAATGACAACTTCAGTTTCTTTTTTTTTTAAACAGAAATAATATTTTTCTATTGTTAAATGTTCTCACTTAGTTGCTGAAATCAAAGGAAAAAGGCCCCTATTCACAATTAAAATGTGTATTTTTAAAGGTATTATAACACCCTGCAGAGGTTAGAACTGAGAAACCCTAAACTGCCCTTATTGCACTATTAGACTGATTGTTAGACTAAAGAAAATATATTTTCTGTTTGAAAAAATGCTTACCTGAGTTGTTTTTCACATTAGTGATTTCTGCTGCACATCTTGGGTGTCTCATTTATGGACAGTAAATTATTGAACCGTTCAGGATGTCTGCAGATTGATTGAAGAGTCTGCTGGTGTCCTGGCCTTGTCCTTTGCGATATAAAGGAAAGATTGTGTGACATGATGTCATTCCAACGATGCAATCATAGCTGAACACAGACGCACATTAATAAGAGCTGTGATGCAGGGTGTCAGCCCATAGGAGTGACTGTAAAGATGAAAAGGCGGAGAGATGGAATTATAAGCAAATAAAATAGAGAGTAAATTAAAAATGTAATATGAAAGCAAACAGAAAATACTTGTTGAGTACAAAATAACAGAAGAATATTATCACTGAGGGATGGAAAAATTCAGATTAAATAAAAACAAACTCAAACTGGGTATCTAAAACTAACTAAATGTTATTAAAGAATTCAAATTTCATAATAACGGCTTTGTTTGTATAGTCAGTTAACTTTCATTCTCTTCCAAATCTCCTTGCAGCTCTTTTCCCTAATCTGTTTCATTCGCTGTTTTTCTCCAGGTGTTATACCAGATCGACAGTTCACTGGAACCCAGTTTGTCTGCAGTGTTGTGGCTTCTCATGTGAGCCATCAGCCCTCCACCAGCTTCAGTTTTGTTTGGATCGCCCCACCACCTGGCACTGGCTGCGTCAATTTCCTGTAAGTCATCCGTCAGATCCACGTGTAGAAAAGCACATAACACAAAAAGGAAAGTGCAGATAATGGTCCCTGTTCTTCTGGGTGAGACCTTTTTCAATGCTGGTCCTAATGTGGAGGTCATAATCTTATCTGCTTACAGTGTTTGGATTCATACAGAACCAGAAAGTTTCAAATAGGGCAATAAACTCCATGAATGTTTTTCTTTCCCCTATCTGACCCACAGAAAGGATGATTAGTTATAATTCTGCATTGAGAGGTTAAACCTTGACTGGAATTTATGTAATTTTTCCTATCTTCAATGCAAGTCAGATTATTTAAGTAGCTCCAATTCACAACACATGTCAGCTTAAGGCATTTTACAATTCAACCACATCATACATACAAATTGATTCAAAGTTTTCTATCTAAGGAAAACCAGTTGATTGCATCGACTCATTGACTCAAATACAATCCTTCACACTAAGAATGCTTGTATAGCGACAGTGGAGAGGAAAAACTCCCTTTTAACAGGAAGAAACCTCCAGCAGAACCAGGCTCAGTGTGAGCGGCCATCTGCTGAGGCCGACTGAGGTTCAAGGACAAAGAAGCAGAGATACAGTTTCCAATCTATGGGCCACAGACAATCTGTTGAACAGCAGTCCAACTTGAATTACCTGCCTGAACTACCCCGCAAACGCAAACTAATCTGTGAATAAATACCTCCAACTTTTTCTGATTAATGCTCTGCAGATGTATAGCCGGGGATATTATTCTCTGAACAAGCCCTGCTTTTAACATTTTCACAAATTCTTTACTTCTTTCTTTGCGTCCTGTTTGGATTGTTTTCTCTTACTTGTGGTTTTAAACCATGCTTTCAGTTCTTCTCAGTTTTCAGTTTTCCCTGTATGAATTAGTTTCGCCCCTCCTCATTATCTCAATCCAAGTCCAATGAAAACAGCATTTATCTCTCATTCCTTGGTGTCTCAGCTGCAGATTTACAACCACCTGCTGACAGTCACTCCAATTCCATTATAACATTATTACAATAAACAAAATAAAAATCTAAACTCATTTGTTATTTTGACAGGCTACATTGCAAATTGCGGGCAATTATGCTTTTTGTAACATCACTCAATTTCACTTTTTTGCAATACTCAACAAATCTTTACCAGATTCTCTGAAATGTCTCAACAGTCTTTATGACCAGGAAATTTATAGACAGACTGACAAAAACAATTTAACACAACAACTTGGCTGAATTAAAGCTGCCATTTAGAAGATTTCTGCCCTAATAAACGGATTTAGGGTCTTTTTCTGTCTGCAAACCAACTTTTTTCCTGCATGTCAGCTTAGAAGAATGTAGCTTTTTCTGAGGACTTGTGTGTAAACACATGTGAAAAGCAGAGTTGCAGAGTGCCATCGCTGATGACAGTGGAATGGACAAATATGTGACAATATGAGATCTTGAGATTGACCTTATGAAAGTCATTCCTTCACACTTCAGTTGGCCGAAAAACACTTCTTCCCTAGAAATACATACAGTTATTTATGCAAACGTGCTCACTGGATTCTGTTCACGGCTGTCTTCTTCTTCATCACCCTTTCCATTGTGACACTCCCATGTCTCAAAGGAGGAATTCATCAAGCATTTGGCTGTTTGACCAAAGCCGAGGCCACCTTTGGTGCCACATAAGATTTTCCAAGACCTGGCTGTCAGTGTTTCTTAAAAGGTTAGACGTTGGTCAGAAAAGTGTGGCTCTAAATAATTATTACATGATAAATAATTATTGATTCAAAATTTTCTGGGGGAAATGTTTGCGAAATCTCGCTTGATTTTACTCCAAATTACATGAAACAGTAATTGTTTCGTGAGTAAGTGTTTTGATAGATCCAAAGAGTGTCTTTTTCTGTTAGTCTTGCCTAGAAGTGTTCAAATTTAAGACACAGACATCCTTTGTCCTTCAGAGGGCTGGAACTGGTCCACTGCTGCATTAATATGGCCCTGTGAGCAGTTTTATGGCCAATATTGTGGGAGTGTCTCTGGTAACACATCACTTGCAGCCGAGTGATAGAGTGCAGTGATGTGGGCATCCAAAAGAATTAATTTCCTGGATGGCTGTAAATTGCCACCAAAAGAGAATGCAAAGCCTTGGAGAACTGAGGGAGAAGAGAAGAAGAATAAGAGGTGGAGGAAGGTGAAAAAACATATGCATATTTAGACGCAACTCAAAGTTATAGCTATGCTGAAAAGTTTAGACGTTTGTTTGTACTAACAAACACCTTAAGCCAGACGTTGGTGGTCAAATTAGGTGTAAATTTGCTTCTATAAGATTGTAAGCAGATAGCTACAAGTGGTTCAAAACATTTTGATTTGTCGCCAGGGACTCCTGAACAAATAGATATAATACTACCTGGCTAAAATGACTTCAGTGTTTACTAATGCTGTAGAAAAAGGGTAGAAGAGGGGAATTCGAACAGGCTAAAGAAACCTGGCTTTGGGGAAGTTCTGGCAAAAAAAAAAAAAAAACTGGCAACATGCACCATCCTAGTTCTGTCTTTGAACTTCAAAACCAAGATTGTTGTTGACTTATAAAGAGGATATAGTCTACTTATTCTTATGGCGACTTTTTACTTCTACTCCTTACATTTTTACACAAATATCTGTACTTTCTACTCCTTACATTTAAAAAAAAATTGGCTCGTTACTTTAGTTTTGAATCAGTTCAATGGAGTTACCGTTATTATTTTTCACGTCATCAATACCAAATTCAATCTAATAGGATGGGAATCTACGTTGCATTTGACGCACCACTACAAGATGAATCGGCAGATTCGGCGGATTTCATTCGCGGCAAATCATTGCAGCTTGGTGGCAGTGGCGTTAGCATAGTAGCATGGACGACGAGATGATTAAAAATGAACACAACGGAGATCTAGTCCTATTGGCAGACATCCATTTAAAATGTAGGCAACGGCATGAAAAAAGTGGTTTCTACTTTTACTTTTATACTTTAAGTAAATTTACAAGCCTGTACTTTGTTACTTTTACTTGAGTAAAGAAGTTTAATCAGTACTTCCACTTTTACCAGAGTATTTTTTAACACAAGTATCTGTACTTTTACTCAAGTACAGAAAATAAGTACTTTTGCCATCTCTGGTTATCAGTTATCATGGCACTTTTTGATGAGGTAGTTAAAAAACTCCCCAGTAACAGGTGCCATTGTGAGCAGTTGCTGTTGTTGTTATACTGAGCTGCAGATGATCGTATGGTTTTACAAAGGTTTAGTTTTTGTAGAAAAAAATGCAATTTAAAGCAAAAGTCCAGTCATATTCAGAATTGAAACTTCTGAAAGTACTTTAAATATAAAATTATTACAAGCTGTTCAATAAATGATCAGTGTTTTTAATTCAGAGTAATTTTCATGTGAATGTGCTTTACTGGAGGCATCCATGTTTGTCAAAGAACACTACTGCCACCTACTGGTTTGTGACGTCACGGTGCGGTATCGGCTGTTGATCAAGTCCCAGTGCTGTATCTGGTGTTTGTCACAACGCGCTATTATCCAAGTCATCTTGAAAACATTCTTCTTCCAAATGTTGGCTACATATTACGTGTTTTTTCTCTGGCCAGAAGTTAGATGGCAAATCCTCCCTCTTCAAGTTGGCGATCCAACGACCAACCCGTCCGTGGAGGATCAGGAATCAGAAAGGTGAAAAAACAAATTTTTATTCACTTTTACCCGATGTATTCCAGCATCCAGCTGCCATGCACGTGGGCATTGTCAGTTTCACTATAGCTCTGGTGCATTTCAATGGTGAAGTCCTCTGGAAATCTTCAATAATTGTTGTTGATTGCAGATGTGTCTAGTAGTTCCCATTGATTTAACTTGTAAAGCGGGGAGAATGTCGCTAGGCTTACCGCACCGTGACGTCACTGCTGGAAGATGGCAGGAGGGAGGGGTTACTATATTTGGGCAAAAATGGCCAGACTCAGTGATCGCAACGAAAATTATTATTTTTATTTTTTTACTGATTATCTCTAAAATCATTAAATCACTGCGAACTTATTAGTTTTAGGTATAGATAATGATCCATTGATCATTCCTTGCTGACCAGACTTTTCCTTTATAAATAAAGGGGAGGATGTTCTTTTTCCGGATGGATCATCTCAATAAGTGGTCCTCCTAAGTGTCAATCATTCTGGTGATATGTTTACGTAAGGCCGTCCTACGTGCTCGTCCCCATTTTCACTTACCAGCGGTCTTACATAGTGGAAAAATTATAAATCTTATTTTGGAAAGTAAGCTTATATGAGGGATGCATGAGGAGGAATTGGCTCCTGCATGCTCTCACAAGCGTTTAATAGGCGTTTCCTTTCGGGTGCACGTATAAGGTTGTGTATGTGCTTTTTTTTTTAAAGCGGAGAGGGTGGGTCTTTTCAAAAATTTGCAAAAATCCTCCACTATACCTTTTTCACTTAAGACAGCTGGTACTGACAATAAAAACTGTGCATCTTTTTCCGTTAGCCAGGTTTACATTTCACGGCTAAGACTGAGATCTGACATACGTTTCCCAGGGCTCCTAATTTACCCAGTTATTAGTCCTCTCTATTGATTTGTTGGGTCTCCAGTCAATCTGTTGACTCTGTTTACCATAAAGCTATTGCTTAATGACCTTTTATCCTTATTAAAGGTCCTTATGGGCCTCTTGCTTCAGAAAGGATAGAGAAGTTTACTGAACATGCTAAGTGAAGAAACATAAATAATTAAATAGAAAAAGATCTGAAACTGAAATATTTTCCATTTAATGGAAATTATTTCAAAAAGGCCATTTTCAAAAATATTTCTTTGTTCTTTTTTGTACATTTTTGTACAAATGTCCATCTGCCTTTTATTTACATTTGATTTAGTATTTATCTTCTGATCATCTTTAAATGTCTGTACTAAATTTATTGTTATCTTTATTCTTAGTTGTGTAATAGCAGCTAAAAAGAAAGAGCATTCTTGGGATTTATCTCTGGA